ATCAGCTGTTTGGACTCTCATTCTGACGGCACCCATTCACTGCAGAGCATCCATTGCTGAGACACTGATGCAATGCTACATTTCTCCAAATCTGATGAAGAAACAAACTCATCCTGATCTCGGATGACCTGAAGGTACATTTTCAACAAAAGCTAATTGTTTGGTTGAACTATTCCAACCAGTTGAAATACACAAGGGCCTTATATTTATTTAACAAACAAACAAACACACTAAAAGTTTAAAGATGAAGTATGTGATTTCTACACCACTTCAGCCACCAAACGGAAATGCAATCTGCTCGTTTTGTGTAAAAATATCACCAACTATGAAAAGACAAACACAACAATACACAGCAATGAATCTCACTACTACAGTAATTCTTATAGCAGCTCCTGTAAATAAAGCGTCCACTAGAAGAGCACTGCGGTATTCCCAGGTATTTCAACACAACACCCTCCGGTCCCACTCCTTTTCTCCGTGTCACCATCTCTCCCTCTTCGAATACTTTCACAGATTCATATTTCAAGGCTCACAGAATGGAAACTTGACTCCAAAAACTGCCCTAAAGTCACGTCTCAGTGCAATTATCAAATGAGTTCAATGCAAACATCTCGTGAGAGCTTAAAAAGACTATTAATCCTGGTGGGATTTGCGTGAACTAAAAAGAAGTTCACTGCAAATCTAGCTTTTTTTTGCACCCAAAAAAAAAAAAAGTGCAATTTTGCTAAAAAAAAAACCTGCATTATACACTTTCAATGCAACCACTGAAAAGACAAGCTTTTAATTCACAGACATCAACTTGTAAACCTAAACTAGAAGGCATTACTGCAGATTCAGCACACAAAACACTTCACTTAACAACTCAAAGGTCTAATCGGCTTCATGCCCTGTAGGTTTTTTTGGGTGCTGCTGACATATAAAGCATGAAATATGACATGCATCACCCTGAACAGGTGCCATACGACCGCAGGGGAAAGTCTGGGGTTTTCTACACTGATGTAATCACAGTCTGGGAGGAATAACGTTCCTGCTGGATCTCAGAAGAGCTTTATTACCGCACTTAAACAGAATAATAAACAAGTGATTTACAGTAAGCAAACTACAGAAAGCAGCTCAGAATATTAAAAACATTCTGTAAGCCTAAGTATTAATGGGTCTCGTTTAAGAAACACAATATGTAAATTATTCTTAGGTAAATAGTTGCATTTATGCAACACCTCATATACGCTGTAAAAATGATTTTTCAATGTTGTAACTAAAGATTAAAATTCATTTTACAAGAAAATACGACCTCAAAATCTTTAATTCAATGTTACTTGACATTTCTTTGTAATTCTTTGTGAAATTTACTACTAACTTCTGAGCGAAAATTGTTTTATCACCAAATTTCTTTCAGTGTATGGATATTTTTAAAGATGTAAATAAAAACATTTAAGTGTTTTACAAGAAAATACCATTTCAAAATTTCATGTTTAATTTAATGTGTTACTCACTGTTTCTTTATAATTATTTGTAAACATTTACTAGTTATTTCTTAGTAAAAATTGTTTCACCAAGAATTTTTTTGTGTAGTGTTAAAAGTTATTTTTGGAAGATGTAAATAAAACAGATTATTGAAAGATTATTTTATTTCAGTCTCACTACTTCAAAATTTCACGTTTAATTCAATGGGTTGCTTGCCGTTTCTTTAATTATTTGTGAATTTTTACTAGCAATTTCTGAGTTAAAATTGTAAATCCAAAACCATTTTTGTGACAATTTACACAAGAACAATTTAATAAATTATATATAAAAAATGTATTAAATTGTTCTCATCTGATATAATATTACTAAACATTTTATTGCATACTTATTAATTATTTTTAAGGATTTGAGACCTTAATTCAATGTCAACAACAAAAAACGGACATGTTTTTTCCTTCCTTTTAAGAGTTGTTATCCCAAATATGCAAGATTATTTAGTCAGTTAAATTGTATTGTTTGCATTTATCATCGTTTGCTCCCTGCTGTTCGTGACCCATCAGAACAGATCTGCCACCCATGTTTTGCAAAACTCAAAATGTCAGTGTGGGGAATTTGCATAATTGCATTGACTTGTGTAGTTCCGGGTAAATGCATATCAGATAGCACTAAATATGTGCTATAAAAGAGTTAATAGCAGCAGTGCAACTAATGCTTGACTACAAATTGAAATGTGCTGACTAATGGACTGGAGCAGCTCAAACATGGACTTTTAATTACCTATATTTGAGTTAATCGTTGCATGAATAAGGTCAGGACTTTCATTGCATGGAAACACCTCTATTTATGATCCATGGAAGAAAGAAAGTCAGAAGCAGCATGAGCGGATAATGACAAAATGTTCTTTTTTGGCTAACTAAAGCCTGAATATACATATTTTTCGTCTCAGGAGTAACAGACTTGTCTAGCTTTCCAAATTCGTAATTCCTCAAACTGCGTGGAATTGAACATAAGCGTTTCCTCCGGCTACTATTTCCAAGGCCCTGATTGTTTTCCATTTCACATCCCGAGTGTAAGACGAGATGATGCTTACCTGTTCTTTCACCTACCTGACCATGCAAACGTGGCGCATGCTGGACTGCATTAAACCATCATTCTTGCAGACTGTCTCACCTTCAGGCAATGTGAATTAAACCCAGTTCAGGAGATCATGAGATCCAATAGCTTGTGATCCAAAGCCCTTGAGTCAATGCAACAGCCAAACGTTGTAGGAAATGCAAACTTTATATTTATACTGTACAGACTTATACTGTTTTGATTGATGTTAGTTATTCTGAGGACATAAAGCCTTAAGCACCTGCCTTGTTCTGCTATCACAAATCATATAAGCGCATTTGTCCCTGATTTCATTTGAATTAGTGACAGAACACGAAAATGAATAGGCCTAAATTGCATCAGCCGATAATCATGACTGATTTGCCAATTAACAGAAGCACTGCTCTCGCTTCTATCAGCTCTAAACGTTAACAACAGCTTAATATTATGCTTAATACATACATATATATATATATATATATATACTGTAAATATTGTATATATGCAGTTGTACAGTAGATAAACATATTATGGCATTGCATATGCATATATATGTGTATATATATATATATGGGTCAAAGACAACACATTTTGGTAACCGCATCAAATTAAATTTACAAAAGTGATTTTATATATGCAGGAAGCATATTAAGCTCAAGTAAAGTGTCTACTCTTTCAAATAACTTTTGTGAAAATAAAATGTCAAAATGTGTGTGAAATAATGTTCCATCGTCATTCAGCATGTAAAAATTAAACGTACTTATTCTGACCAGTACTTATTCAAATACAGGTGCATCTCAATAAATTAGAATGTCGTGGGAAAGTTCATTTATTTCCATATTATGGCATTGCAGATGCATATATATGTGTATATATATATATATATATGGGTCAAAGACAACACATTTTGGTAACCGCATCAAATTAAATTTACAAAAGTGATTTTATATATGCAGGAAGCATATTAAGCTCAAGTAAAGTGTCTACTCTTTCAAATAACTTTTGTGAAAATAAAATGTCAAAATGTGTGTGAAATAATGTTCCATCGTCATTCAGCATGTAAAAATTAAACGTACTTATTCTGACCAGTACTTATTCAAATACAGGTGCATCTCAATAAATTAGAATGTCGTGGGAAAGTTCATTTATTTCAGTAATTCAACTCAAATTGTGAAACTCGTGTATTAAATAAATTCAATGCACATTGAATTTATTTAATACACGAGTTTCACAATTTGAGTTGAATTACTGAAATAAATGAACTTTTCCATGACATTCTAATTTATTGAGATGCACCTGTATATAAAAGAAAAAAAGTGATCATACTAAATTTTATTATAATTTAAACAATTAAAACTGACAAATGGGTAAAACCTATTAGTATGAATGATAGTGGCAAAAATTGGTAACGATTTAAAATTACAATTAATTAGCATTTGGCAGCTGCACTGTAATCCTTAAATAGTCTTTTAATGTCATCTAATGATTCTTGGTTTAATATACGCCTGACAAGATTTTTTTGCTATGTTTTATTTTTATTATATAACTATTTACACTGAGATTTTAGTGAGTGTCTTCTGTAAACCATGGTAAAAAAAAAAAAAAAAAGACAAGAATGAAAAAAGAAAAATGTCATCATCCGCTCATGTTGCTCCAAACTTTCTACGATTTTCTTTTTTCCATGTATCATAAATAGAGGTGTTGTATTTTTCCATGCAATGAAAGTGTTAGTCCAAGTATTCCTGGCTTTACACGTGCATTCATTCAAATATGTGACCCTGGACCACAAAACCAGTCATAAGGGTATGTACCTGTGCTCCAGGGTCACAAATGCATAATTAAATGTCCATGTTTGAGCTGCTCCACTAGTCAGCAAATATATGTCTCTGCACTCTCTAGTTATCAGTGTCGTTCACTTGTACTCTTCAAACTGCTGAATATTTCTAATATAATATCATATTTTTTTCTGGCATCCCTGTTCTCTACGTATCCATATCAGCATGAGTCACTGAAAAACTAATTTTGTTCAAGCACAAATTGCATAAGAGCATACAATGGCATAATGTTATCTACTGTACGGTATCTCGAACTTCAGCAGTGCTGCAAACATGAGGCCCGTCCAGGAATTTCACAGCAATGCAGGCCATCGAGAGCACGCCCAGAACGGCCCCGCTCTCACTTGGGCTACTCTTGCACAAACACAAACCCAAGCAGAGTTTCTGTGAGCATGCATTTGACCGCCGAGGGCCATCGAACTCCTCTGTGCAGCAATGTGAAGCTTCTGCCCTGATATAAAATCTCAGCAAAAACACATGCAGGCAATTTGTGAGAGGGTTCAGACTGACAGCTTTCACCTACAACGAGGAGAAACACGGCTCAAACATGTCACTTTAATAAAAAAGCACATTTAATACTCAAAACATGCAGTGATTATATGACTGTACCTGCTTTCTCCTTTTGCATTGGAGGGCGGAGGGTGAAGAATAGTCTGGTTTTCCTCCATCTCAACCACGCATTTTGTGCTGAGCTCAATCTCTGCAAGCCAAAAGTTGTTAAAACTCGACTAAAAGTTCGATTTGTGTGAAAAAAACTGATCAAAATGTCTGAAATGCATTAAAATGTAACACGTCAAGTGAATATGCAACAACCATACCTGAGCTACGGCAACTTATGACCAGCAAAAAACTAATATTAATGTTTGTTTTTATTTTAAATCGTCTCTTACCTCTCCTGTTCATTGGTCGGACTCGAACCGCCACTTTTACCTTCGTATCCGACATTTTTATACAATTTGAAGGCTTTAAAGTGGAGGAGAAAGCCGCTAGCTGCTCCGCACGGCTAGCAGAATAATAATAACATTAAACTCCCTGCAAAGTCTCCCACAGAAGCGTCTGAGGTGCTTGTACCCTGCTAAAACACTCCAACAGTCCATACCCGAGCGGAAAAAGCAGTGAATATTAATCCAGATGAGACTTGTGTTGTGTTTGAGTTCAGTGTGTGCGCTTATAAAGGATCCTCCGCCGCGGAGAGAGCAGCTCCAGCAGCATCCAGACCGCCATCTTCCGCCGACTGACCCCAAAAACACACAGATGTGCAGTGTGCATGAATATGCATGAAAGAAATGAGTTTAAAAGAGACGAGATGGGCCACAGCGACCTGTGTAACTCCTACATGGCGACATAAAATGATTGGCCATGTTAGAAGAGGAGGAGAAACAGCCGTACCTTGCGTCTCATATCAATAAACCTATGCGCATTACTACTATTCAGCACTTCATGTAAAACAAATGTTTCTTCTGTACTTGCATGTGTTGATTTCTCCTTTCGAAAAAGTACTGACATGCAATAACATCTCGATTAAAAGTTTTATTCAAAAATAGGATTTAATATGAATGAACCCATTAATAAACGTCAGCTTTAAGTGTCAGATAAAAGAAAATTGCTTCTAAAGGTAATGATTGATCAATTTTACACTGTACTATGTTATTGACATGATACGAATTGACAAATTTAATAAACGAAACAAATTACAGAAGCAGCATCTAAAGAAAATGAAGACAACTGAAGTGTAATTACATAAATATTAAATGCAAATAAAAAAAATAGAAATGCGTCTTATGTTTTTTAATATCATGGTACTCCATAAAATGCATGCACAAAACATATATTTTTTTGTAAAAAAAAGAAAAAAAATCTATTTGTGATAACATTTGCACTATTGTACTTCATGTACTTTTATATTATTTTATATGATATCATTTTAGCCCAATTTATTAAAGGCCTTTTATGTTTAACCATGAGGAAACGATTATTCAATATACACTGTACTATGGTATTGACAGTATAAGAATTGCCAAATTTAATAAAATAAACAAATTACAGAAGCAGCATGCATGCTCTATGCCTAAAAACATCCATTTACATCTATTTGTGATAACTATTCTCATTGTATGCAGCTTAAATGCAAACACTTAGCGATACTAATGCACAGTTTTGTCATGACAATAAAGCACATTAATCTGATTTTCTCTAGAGAAAGTGCGGGTCGTTTTCACTGAGATGTGAGTTATAGTTAGAAGTGCTTTATAGCATGCTGTGACGACAGCAGCAGTCTGGTACGATCAGGGGATATGGAGCAGAGCAGGTTATGGGATTCCCCTAGGGTTTCTTTAATCACGGTGGATTTATCAATTTATTTAATGCATGCAATTTTAAATAAGCATACGCCCAGTATAAGAGCTACGCTGGGCGTTTTTTCATTTAAAATGACTTTGATTAAATGTTGCTCTGTAGCAAATTAAAGTCATAATTTGTGTCAATGACTGCCAAGTGGTTCCCAAACAATTTCACCAATTTTAGGTTCCAGGATCCCATGGAAAAAAAAAAAAAGTTCATTTAAATTACATATCAGTTGCATTGAATGACATGCCAGTTTATATATAATGTGAACCAGTGCTTACATTTCTTCAATAGTGAATAACAGGGGTGATCGACATAAAAATCATTTAAATTTAGAAGATGTTTTTGCGTTTATAAATCACAGGGTAAACTTAAAAAGAAAAGAAAAGTGGGCTTGAGAAGTGAACTGTAGTTTTAACATGCACTTAATTATCTAAAATGACTAAGAGAGTTTACTTCGAGTTAAAATTCAAGGACAATCCCACTGGAGAAACCTGGAATTGAATGCATTGATCAATACATACATTATACAATATATACACAAATGCATTGCGTTTTGCACAAAATGCATTGCATTGCATTTCGTACAGTCTATACTCATGCATAAATTGTGTGTAATATCATGAGTACTTAAGGCAGGCTAACAAGTCAAATTCTCAATTTGACCAATAAACGTGAACTCTATAAACCTTCCATTTATTAGCATAGAGCTTTAGCCACTACCCCACCAAATCTAAACTCACAAACACACCACAATTAATCCACCTAAAAAATATGCATGGATTGTAATTAGTTGTGCATTTACACTTCTCTTTTTCAGTGCTGGGTAGTAACTGATTACATGTAATCTGGATTACGTAATCCGATCCCAAAAATTAAGCGCTTGTAATTAGATTAAATTACATTTTTAAATACTTGTAATCAGACTACAGTTACTTATTTATTGATTAGCACTTGATATATTTTTAATGATATTGATATTATAAAGATATTGTATATTTTAATTAAAAGAAAACATTTATGCATGCTTAATTTTTTTGGCAACATATATATATATAAACCTGGAATTGAATGCATTGATCAATACATACATTATACAATATATACACAAATGCATTGCGTTTTGCACAAAATGCATTGCATTGCATTTCGTACAGTCTATACTCATGCATAAATTGTGTGTAATATCATGAGTACTTAAGGCAGGCTAACAAGTCAAATTCTCAATTTGACCAATAAACGTGAACTCTATAAACCTTCCATTTATTAGCATAGAGCTTTAGCCACTACCCCACCAAATCTAAACTCACAAACACACCACAATTAATCCACCTAAAAAATATGCATGGATTGTAATTAGTTGTGCATTTACACTTCTCTTTTTCAGTGCTGGGTAGTAACTGATTACATGTAATCTGGATTACGTAATCCGATCCCAAAAATTAAGCGCTTGTAATTAGATTAAATTACATTTTTAAATACTTGTAATCAGACTACAGTTACTTATTTATTGATTAAATGATTACATATTATTTACACAATAGCAGCAAATTATTTATAATTTGAGCCCCTTTAATTCTTCTTTTTCATCTTTCTAAATTTTCATCTAAAACACCTAACACTTATATACTTTCAGAAAGTCTTCCAGTTTTGTTGACATTCACACAAAGAATTTACAAAAATCATTTCAGTTTTAATCTCATCTTCATCTCAAAATGTCAACATTGTGTCAACTACTGATGAACACATTCATTTTTATTTGAATTATCACTTAGTGGGTTATTTAATGTGTTAAGGCTTTTGTCTTTTTTGTCTTTCAAACATTAAAATGCACAAGTTCATGTTATTTCTTATTTACACGTGATGCAGGGAACTTTTTTTTTATAGTCAGCCAAACCTCTTTCACCTAATAAATGTATTTGAAGCTCCTCTAAGATAATAAGGTAATAAGTTAATAATTAAGTAACACGTGTGCATATTCACGGTTCAAAAGTAATCTAAAAGTAATCAAAAGTAGTCTGATTAGGTAATGGATTACGTTAGTAACCACAGTTTTTGTCATGTAATTTGGAATCAGTAAAGGATTACAATTTGTAAATACTCAGCAATGCTCATTTTAATAAGTTAATAAGTAACACATTTGAATATTCACGGTTCAAAAGTAATCTAAAAGTAACCACACGTAGTCTGATTCAATTACCTAAGATGTGTAATGCAATTGATTACATTACTAACCACAGTTTTTGTCATGTAATTTAGGATCAGCAATAGCCTACAATTTGTAAGTAATTTATCCAGCAATGCTCATTTTAATAAGTTAGTAATTAAGTAACGTGCATATTCACGGTTCAAAAGTAATCTAAAAGTAATCTGATTATATAACCTAAGACATGTAATGTAATGCATTACGTTACTAACTACAATTTTTGTCATGTAATTTGGAATCCATAATGGATTACAATTTGTAAATACTTAGCAATGCTCATTTTAATAAGTTAATAATTAAGTAATGTGCATATTCACGGTTGAAAAGTAATCTAAAAGTAATCAAAAAGTAATCTGATTATATTACCTAAAATGTGTAATGTAATAGATTACGCTATACTAACTACAGTTTTTGTCATGTAATTTGGAATAAGTAACGGATTACAATCTGTAAGTAATCCACTCAGCAATGCTCATTTTTGATCACAATATAAGTCTTCGGTGTCCGCGGCGTAGAACTTGACCGCATGATCACCACTGTCCAAGACAACAAGCACGTTCAACGCCGTCGCAGCCAACGCCGCTGGACGCATCAGTCCGCTCACTAGCGGAGTCAGCGCAGGGTTTTTCTGTGGATTTCCCAAACTCCAAACCATGCCATTCTGCACGTCCCCAACAATCACGTCTCCATTTCTATCAAAAGCCACCGCAGATATAACCAAACTCAAAGCGCTCTTCAAGTGAAGACCGAAACCGTCCATCTGTGTAAAAGGAACGAAGTCACTATTGAATATCCTCAGCGTGAAGCTGCTCCGAAGTCGCTCCACGATTGCGATGTTTCCCGAAGCTCTGCAAGAAGCAACCGAACACGGATGCATCAGCTCTTTCAAAACGACTCGCTTAGCTAAAACCACGCCATGAGAAAAGTCCATTACGACTTGGTTTAGGGTTCCCAACTCAGCGTCGGTCACTAAAACTCGTCCACGGTTGTCTACATCTACACCCCACGGCAGTCGAAAACCTCGAACGGTCGCCAGAGGACGGCCTTTGGACGTGAAGACTTTGAGTGATTGGTCACCAGCATCGGCGACCAAAATGTGTCCGGTTTTGGTCAAAGAAACATCTAGTGGGTAACAGATGTTGGACGACCGTCCAAAGACATTTAAAAGAGTTCCTTGTGCATCAAAAACAACGACTCGTTTATCAGCATCGTGCACCACAACAATCTGTCCTGATGTTTCGTCCACAGCCATTCCAGTAGGGTTGACCATCGTCCCCCATCCTCCGAAGGCCGAATGGAGACGCAACGTCCCCCAACCCAAGCTTTCAGTCCATTCTTGATGATCAGAGGACGATTTGGGACGAGATTCACACAACAGGAGCTCTTGGAGATCTGCAAGCGCACGGCATTCAGAGGTGCTGCCAACGTCCCACACTTTCCTACAAAAAGGACACTCTAGTTTCTTCTGGACGGAGTGAGACAAGGCGCAGACGCATTTGAGACAGAGCACATGGCCGCAGGGAAGATTTTGTGCCGTTTGGTCTTTCTTCTGCAGGGAGAACCTTTCAAAACACACTTTGCACTCCAGCAGGTTCGACTCGATCTCTGTCAGGACGTCTTCGGCTCTCATACACGATGGGACGGGCGTCTCGGACATCTTGTGCTTCATATAAATAAATACTGGCCTAATGACTGGCAAAAATGGGTTGAGGGGATAAGAGAGAGCTTTACAACAGCAAACATGAT